AGCCCCAATATGATCTCGAGCTACTAAGGAAGCAGGTCAAGCTATCCCCTGCTTTACCATCAATTTACAAATCAAATGTTTTGCCAGTGCCTAAAAAACAGGGTTCCACAAATACTGTTTTAGGGATAAAAAAATCTGATACAGATTCTTTTGTACTGAACATGCCAATTGATGTTTAATATCTTTAGATATGACCACAATAAGTACTCATTGTTTATGAGTGCCGATCCTTTCTCTAGAGCACAAACTTCTTGAATTCAGAGAGCTGTATTCTGGTCAGGGTGGAAGAGTTTCTGTTGCATTACTAAACATACAAAACTAAATACTTCATGAGCAGCATTTCACATGAAGTAGGCTACTCACTGTTGCCTTAACAAGTGCATCTGTATTAGGTGTGCAAAGTAATCCAGTGGGCCAGATTTGACCCTTGGGCCGGCTGTTTCTACGCATGTTTTACACCTCTGATATAGGATTCATGCAACATCGGTGACATCCTTCTTGTTGTAACCTGCAGTTAATTTCCTCTAGTGTCAACACAACCAAAGCACTCCCAGTGTTTTGGGCCAGCCTCAATAGCATTGTAAGCTTACTTAGACTATGGCACTGACATGTCTGTGTAGCCATCCCATATTGACACAGTTTTCTGTTTTTAAGTTTTATTTTGTTTGAAATAAATAAATTAATTCATTCATTCATTCATTTTGAAGAAAGTTTATTTCATTGTGCAAGATCATGTTTCGTGTCTTAATGGTAATTTAGTGAATAGTAGTAAATATTTTTTTCTTCTTCAAAACAGCTATCATGAGATCTCTTTCACAGGGAGGTGCCTCTTGATGTTGGCCCCAAGGTGACGCTTGGATCCCTATGATTTGGTGAAGTGTTCGTGGCAGAGTACTGAGAGGCAGCCAACCAAGTTGAGGAACTCTGGAAAGTCCACACTGTTGTCCTGGTTTAGGTCCAGTTTATTGAAGATGCTGTCCACTGCTGCCTGGTCAGTGGCTTTCTGCAGGTAAGAAAAGTGTTGAAGATCATTGGGTGTGTGCATGATCGTAAAATCCTACAGGCTGTGATGATGCATAAATTCTACCAAGCATATTCACCATTCTCTCCACACAATGCACTATGCATGTACGGTAAGACAGTGTGTATTGTGCAGGACTGAGATAGAGACAGGTCAGAGGTCACTCACCCCCAGCAGCTCTCCCAATTCACTCTGGAGCAGCTCTTTCACCTCTGCCTTAGTCAGGCTTTTGTTGTCCCCATCCTTCTTGGCGTATTGATCGAAGGTGGCAACGAGGAGGACTATAGCTTTCTGGGTGTTCGACATGATGATAGCTGGTTTAAAAGGACAGAAAGAACAAGGAGTGAGATAATGACATATGAAGTTTGTCAATCAGAGCGTTTGTACATTAACACGCAAAGGTTCAGACTGGCCTAGTATTTTCCTTTTACATCTTCAGATGACTAACTGCAGAAGGTGCTGAAAGGTGAAGCTCTCATTTGATGCTGCTACGACGCCATCTAGTGGCAAAGTCGAGGTCTTCCTCTGCTGCGCGCTATAATGGATCATGTGGCACTGTGGTTACATTTGGAATGTTAACAAAGGACAGCATTTATATCTAAATCTTGAGGGAGTGGTTGAAGGGGAAGGAAAGGGAGAGGGTGTCTGAGTTCATGGCTCTGTTTGAAAAAAACTGGGATTAAACAGATTTACTCCATTATTGTTTTTTTTAAGCTAAGTATTGTTTTTTAATATCTGACCATCAAGTCTGATCATTACTGTGCTGAAGTTGGCCAATTGCTTTTGTCACTGCCAGTGTTTTTCTCTGGCTTTTCCGTGGGGCTTGATAAAAATAAACTCCAGGTTTCCTCCAGGGCTGCTCCTATGTCCCCCTGTCACCAGCCTCTAACGCACAGTGTCTGCCGGGTGACACATTGTTATGGCAACAGCTTAAACTCTCCAAGTAACTCAGTCAGACTAGATAAAGATGCAGGTCAAGACTTGATTCAAATCCCAGCAGTGGTGTGTTTTCTTAACGTCTAAAAAGTGTATTCTTTTTTCCACTGACTCAATAAACCCAAGGGAGTCAGTTCTGGTTGCATCCTGACTCACGTGATGCTGCTCCCTCTCTGGGGTGTGGTGAGCGGAGGAAACTGAGGCAGCAGAGGGTTTGTAAACAGATGGGAATTGCGGAGGAGGAGAACACAAAATGAACACCATATTACTGTTCTGTTGTTTGGTTTTAATTAGAAGAAATACTGGAAGCTTGATGCTAACCTCTGAATGCACAATGCATCAGTGTAACGACATTACAGGCTAAAGTTACCCAAATAACTGAACTCAACTTAATTCAGAGCAAAACTAAGCAATGTCTGTTGCAGCATTTGTTTTACAAGTAATGAAAAACAGAGGAGAAGTCAAAGTGAGCTCAAAAACACTATATGCCCACAGAGCTGGTAACTGCAGTTATATTTTACACAAATAAAACTCAAATTACATCCAAGGTGATGCATTCAAAATAATCAAATATCGGAATAAGTTGTGCATTTCTTTTAAAGTCAGTTAAAGACACTAAAATACAAACAACATCACTGCTTAGATTTTCTACTCACCAAAGCTGATTTGCAGAGACTCAGGACGACCGGAGAGTGACAGTCTTAGAGGAGCTGTAGTGACGGAGAAAGAGATGCAAAGGATGCTTTATACACCACCACACCCTTTATCCCTCCCTCCATAATGCTCCTTTCATCTCCAACCACTCCTACTTCTCCCCTCGTGTCTTGTTGCTTTTTTTCAAGTTATGTTTTAAGGAACACTGGACGCATTGTTGTTGGAATCAACAAACTACTAAATCATCATCCAACATCTGGTGGTTATTCACGCTGGTTGTTAGGGAGTCTGCTCTGTGTCACTTCACACTTCATGGTGTTTTATTGTTGCTTAGATAGCCCATAGTGCATGTGTGCATTCAGAGAGGATTTTCAAAATGCTAAGAATGTGCATCATTCATTACAAAAATGTTTCTGATGTTATGATCTAAAGTTTGCATTCAAACCTAACACAACAAAGACTGTAGACAGTATGTTACATGTAGAAGAAGTGTAGCAGTGTGCTGTATCTTTTAGACTGTCTGTTTCCAAGGAGAAAGGGGATGTTTTGTACTTCTTGTTTGTTTCAGCTACAGTATAATTCAAACCAACTTAGCCAGTTTTTTTGCTCTTTGATACAATGTAACAAAGGAGGTTGGGGGATTTTGGAGATTTTATGTTCAGTGTAAGTTCACTTTCACTTTTAAATAAATTGTTTAAGACCCTTACAAAATGTTGAGTCAAGAGACCAAGGCTGGAGCTGGGTTGAGGAGTTACTTCACGCCTGTTTTGGCAGTTATATATCAAAACAAAATCAAGTGCTTAATCTGTGAAGTCAGCTGCTGGTTGTCAGACCTTGAGGCACACATCTTGTCATTATCACCAAAATGCACGGCATTAAAAGAATATTTGTGTTAAAGCTTTTCACTACTTCAGCTACACATGTCACCGATATAGATGCTGGACTGGAGTCTAAAATATTTATGTTGATCACTGAAGCTGCAAGACAAAAGTGTACAGTAAAAATGTAACTGGGGTGTTTAACTGTACATGCTATCCATCTGTCCACCCACTTTCTATAACCTCTCACACTTAAGACAATTTGGAATTTACACGTCATCTTACCTGCAGGTCTTTAGACTGTGCAAGGGAGCTGGTGCACTCACAGGAAAGCCACATGCAGGAAATCATGCACACTTCCATAAAGAAAAGCCCCAGACCGCCAGGTCAGGTTTGAACCCATTTTCTAAGACCAACCTTTGAGCTGCTGTGCAGAACCTACACACTGTATTTGATTTATTTTGATTACCTATCATCTGTTTTTTGCACAAAAAGCCATTACATAAATGTAGTGGAGTCTATAATAAAACAGAAATATTAAGGTAAAGTTACAGTAGACTATCTTAAAGGCCCCGTGTGTGAGATTTAGGGACATCTATCAGCAGAAATTAAATATAATATTAATACCTAAGTTTTCATGAATGTAGGATTACCTGAAAATAAGAATAGTTGTGTTTTCATTGCTTTAGACAGAGATGTTTATATCTACATGTGAAAAAGGTCCTCTTCAGCAGAGTCCACCATGTTATTCTACAGTAGCCCAGAATGGACAAACCAAACACTGGTCCTTGAAAGGGCCATTTTTGTGTTTACATCAGCCACTATGGTTATCCTACATGCTTGGCACACGGGAGACGTTTCAGTCAGGTTTTATTTCTGCAACCTCACCACTAGATGCCACTAAATCCTACACACTAGACTTTTAAAACCTTAGTTAGGGCAAGACCGTATAACTTGAACATCACAAGTCGCCAAGACACACTGCAAAGAGTGGTTCGGTCAGCTGAACATACTCTAGGCACTGTTCTACCTTGACTAAAGGATGTCTACAGTGGTTGCTGCAAATATAAGGTCAGGAGATTCATTAAAGATCCCAACCAACCAGATAACTGCCTTTTCTCCCTGTTGAGGTCAGGAAGAAGGTACCAAATACACCAGGTCAGCAGTGCGAGGCTCAGGAAGAGATCCTATCCTCAGGACACAAGGATCCTAAATGAAGACCCTGCCTAATCCTAAATCTAACCCCCACGAAGTTGCTTAGTTTTGCCTTAGATCAATGAAGGGTTTTGATAAATGTGCTCTACCTCCATAGGATACAAGCAACATCAGTGACATCACTCTTGTTGTAACCTGCAGTTTATTTCCTCTCCTGAAGTTAATTCAGCTCCAAGATTTAAGGCATGAAAGCTTAGCGTCAACAAAACCAAAGCACTCCCAGCATTTTGGGCCAGCCTCAATAGCATTGTAAGCTTACTTAGACTATGGCACTGACATGTCTGTGCAGCCATCACATATTGTCACAGATGTTGTTCCCCAGACCATGCAGTAACATACAAAGTGTACAAGTCAAATGTTTTGAAGAAAGTTTATTTCATTGTGTGAGATCATGTTTCATGTCTTAATGTTAGTGAATAGTAGTAAATATTTATTTCTTCTTCAAAACAGCTATCATGAGATCTCTTTCACGGGGAGGTGCCTCTCGATGCTGGCCCCAAGGTGACGCTTGGATCCCTATGAACTGGTGACAGTGTTGTGTAAGACCGTAGCAAGACCTGCAAACATGATGATAAACTCTTCAAAGTTCACAGTTTCGTCCTGGTTTATGTCCATTGCCGTGAAGACGCTGTCCATTGCTGCCTGGTCATTGGCTTTCTGCAGGTAAGAAAAGTGTTGAAGATCATTGGGTGTGTGCACGATCATAAAATCCTACAGGCTGTGATGATGCATAAATTCTACCAAGCATATTCACCATTCTCTCCACACAATGCACCATGCATGTACGGTAAGACAGTGTGTATTGTTCAGGACTGAGATAGAGACAGGTCAGAGGTCACTCACCCCCAGCAGCTCTCCCAATTCACTCTTGAGCAGATCTTTCACCTCTGCCTTAGTCAGGCTTTTGTTGTCCCCATCCTTCTTGGCGTATTGATCAAAGGTGGCAATGAGGTTGCATAAAGCCATCTGGAGGTTCGACATGATGATAGCTGGTTTAAAAGGACAGAAAAAACAAGGAGTGAGATAGTGACATATGAAGTTTGTCAATCAGAGCGTTTGTACATTAACACGCAAAGGTTCAGACTGGCCTAGTATTTTCCTTTTACATCTTCAGATGACTAACTGCAGAAGGTGCTGAAAGGTGAAGCTCTCATTTGATGCTGCTACGACGCCATCTAGTGGCAAAGTCGAGGTCTTCCTCTGCTGCGCGCTATAATGGATCATGTGGCACTGTGGTTACATTTGGAATGTTAACAAAGGACAGCATTTATATCTAAATCTTGAGGGAGTGGTTGAAGGGGAAGGAAAGAGAGAGGGTGTCTGAGTTCATGGCTCTGTTTGAAAAAACTGGGATTAAACAGATTTACTCCATTATTTTTTTTTTTTTTTTTAACTAAGTATTGTTTTTTAATATCTGACCATCAAGTCTGATCATTACTGTGCCGAAGTTGGCCAATTGTTTTTTTCTTCCTGCTACAGTTTAAGTAGCTAATTTATAGTAATTATAGAGGTAAAATATTCACACAAAGGACTGCATACTAGTTTTATTCATTAAGAGCTCGTGAACGGTGGCTGACATCATTGCTTTTGTCACTGCCAGTGTTTTTCTCTGGCTTTTCCGTGGAGCTTGATAAAAATAAACTCCAGGTTTCCTCCAGGGCTGCTCCTATGTCCCCCTGTCACCAGCCTCTAACGCACAGTGTCTGCCGGGTGCAGTGCTGTAACGGAAACACATGAGGACCCCCCGCAGCTAACCCGAGTGAGGCCCAATATCTACTCTGGACACACAGACAAAAGGATCACAATGTGCTCCTATGTAATTGAAAAACAAACAAACAAAAAAAACGTAGTTGTTGACCGAGTGGGGGAGGGGCCCCTTGGACTCCGAGGCTCCCCCGTCTTGCGAGGGGTGCGGAGGCATACTTTACGGGCGTGGCCGAGTGACACATTGTTATGGCAACAGCTTAATCTCTCCAGGGAACTCAGTCAGACTAGGTAAAGATGCAGGTCAAGACTTGATTCAAGTCCCAGGGAGGTGTGTTTTCTTAAAGTCTTAAAAGGTGTGGTTGCATTCCTTCTCACATGGTGCTCCTCCCTCATGAGGTGTGGTGAGCTGAGGAAACTGAGACAGCAGATGTGAGTTGTGGAGGAGGAGAGCACAAAAAGAATACCATATTACTGTTCTGATTCAAGCTCCTTTTGGGTCTAAAAAAATCAGGCCTGATGCAGATTATCACCGCTCTGTGCTGCATGTTCTGCACATCTCTCCCACTGCTGGGGAGGCAGAGGCGTACACTGCCAGCCCAGTCACCTTACAGTTCCTCTCTCTCTCGCCCGGAGCACACTGCCTGTGTGAGCAGTGTGTGTGCTTTGCAGTCTTTGTGTCTTTTTCGCTGCCCGTGTTAACAGGATGGAGTAGCTACCCTGCCAGTGTGAGTGCACTACTCAGCTGCGGAATGTCTATAGTCATGCGTGAGAATTGCCAGAGGTAAATTAGAGAGAAATGAGCGCTGAGCAATGTCTGTTGCAACATGTGTGTCACAAGCAATGAAGAGAAGTCATAGTTAGTTCATAAAAACACACCAAATGCCCACAGAGTTGGTAACTGCAGTTATATTATACACATTTTTTTTTTACTGAAATCAATTGAAGGTGTTGCATTCAAAAAGAATTTCCTGTTGGAAAAAGTTGTGGTGCATTTTTTTTAAAGTCAGATGATGACATTAAAAAACAAACGAAAAAACATTGTTTAGATTTTCTACTCACCAAAGCTGATTTGTAGAGATCTGAGGAGACCGGAGGAAGACTGGTGAAAAGCTGTGGGCTACTGATGAAGAAAAGTATGCCAGTATGCTTTATACATCACCACACCCTTTATGTAACAAAGGTGTTCACTGAATACCAAACATGCCATCTTGGTGATTATGAAAGGATGAACTCTTAGGTGTTGGCTCCATCTCCACAGGTTGTTCAGGAAGGACAGGAAAGATGATGATGAGTAATGCATCTGGTTCACACACCCACTAACTGACATTTATTTTTGATTGTTACGAATATCCCTATGTGATGTGGTTAATTCTCATGAAAACACAGGATAATAAACCAGGTGAATAAACAAATGTGAGACACTGGGAAAATACAGCAGTAACACAAGTCCTCTTTAGTTTGGGTCAGATGCTTTTTTTTTATGCCATTGAATTTTATAGACACACGAACAGAAGTGTGTGATTGGTGCAGTAGGTGGATGAAACCTTGGCACTGTCTGATCACATGAACTCCGTGCACATTCAGTGTATAAAAGCTACAGACTTTAGGACAGTGCAGGGGAGTCTTAGTGGGGGGAAAAGTGGGACTGACTACCCAGGGCACCAATGGGAGGGGAGGTCCTTTTGCAGCTTTTTATTAGTGGGATACCTAAATTAACTTGGCTGAAAAACCAGTTGAAACCCTGAACTTTAAAATAAAATAGTGGAAGCTCTCTGAGGCCCCTCTAACCCCTTAAAGGCATAACATGGTTTAGTCCTCCCCTGCACTTGGATTCGTCACAGCTAGACCTGAGTGAATGTCTGCTTATGTTGCTGAGGCACCAACCTGCACTGTCACATCTTTCCCCAAGACAGGGAAATCGGGCTTCCAAAAAAGAAAAGAAAGAAAGCAAAGGGAAAGAGAGCAAACTGACTTTGTAAAAAAACAAATCAAAAGGTGAATGAGAGACATGGATCAAGGAAGGAGGGACAGGGGGTCCACAGAAACTGCTTATGCATTTTATAACTCCCCTCCAGTTGAAAGCATGAGCTCAAGGCGTTCTTGGAGTAACGGGCATTTATTTGCACATCCATGATATCAAACATGCGATCAAACATGCCGTCCAACATGCCGTCCAACATGCCGTGAGAACTAGATAAAATAAAAAACACTCACCATAATGAGTCAAAGGTAGTACAGAGCATTCTCATAGAGAATGATTAAACAGTTTACATATACATCCAACGAAAACGTGAGCTATCACACAGCTATCGCGTGAGCTTCAGTATCATATCTAATTAGCGTAATTAAAACATAAAATAACTCTGCATACCTCATTGGCCGCGTTAACTCAAGGGAAGTTAGAAGGGAAACTTCAGGCTTAACAAGTCTTCATGTAGTCCAAATCTTGGTAAAATGCACAGCAAAAGAAAACTTAAAGATCACAGGTGCTCTCTGTCGAGCCTCACAGGTGCTCTGCTCCTCCTGGCACCGCATGCATATACAGGTGTAGCAACACGACCGACCCGACCCACAGCAACAAAAGAACATTAGTTCCTCTATGAAATATAAGATGTATGTTACCAGGTTTTATGTTCCCAATTGTTTATCACGTTATTTATTTGTATTTATTTACAAATCATATTCTTTCCTAAAATGTAAATTATTCTTGTTTTTATCTCAAAAATATTAAATGAACTTAAACTGTATAACTGCCTCTAATGGCAGCTACACATTTGGCCCAGAGTCTGGTACAGTGTACATATGTGTGAGTGTGCTGAGAGGAGGGACTCCTACACTGTAAAGTATTGAAAAAAAGATGATCCCTCCCTCCATAATGCTCCTTTCATCTCCAACCACTCCTACTTCACCCCTCATGTCGTCTTAGTTTTTCAAGTTACACTTCAAGAAACACTAGATGTAGGCTATTATCGTTTCTTAGAATCAACAAAGTGCTAAGTCATCATCACACTTCTGATGATTACCCATGCTGGTTGTTAGGGAGTCTGCTTTAAGCAATTTCACACTCACACTTGCATGTTTGCGTTCAGAGAGGATTTTCAAAATGTTAGCAATCTGCATCATTCATCACAAAAATGTTTCTAATGTTATGATCTAAAGTTTGCATTCAAACCTAACACAATAAAGACTGTAGACAGCATGTTACATGCAGAAGAAGCGTAGCAGTGTGCTGTATCTTTAAGACTATCTGTTTCCAAGGAGAAAGGGGATGTTTTGTACATCTTGTTTGTTTCAGCTACAGTATAATTCAAACCCACTTAGCCATGTTTTTTTGCTCTTTGATACAATGTAACAAAGGAGTTTTGCAGATAAAACTAATAATAATTTAAGATACAAATAACTCTTAACTCATTCACTTTTAAATAGATTGTTTAAAAATGGATTTTCTTTGCCTTCTTCACTTTTACAAGCAGACAAATAGAAGGATACAGCAATGACTATGTGAATCACTTTTTAATGATGCAGTCATGTGAAGCTGCTCCATTTAGAGGTCTCTTTTGCTAATCCTTCAAAAGGAAATCAGTTTGTGTGAAAACTTTTGCTTGCAAACACAAATCTCTCAAGACTTTTGGAATCAAGAGACACATTCTGGAGCTGTTTTGAGAAGTTTTAAGTCTTTTTTTTTTTTAATCCCCCCAAAGAACTTACTTTTTTTTTGCACATTCAGTTTGAATCCAAATTCCACTTTATGCTCTTCGTTTGACTTAACAGGTTTGTCACGATGTGCTTGCCTCTGTGCAACAAACCACAAATACATTTTGATCATTTTCACTTCTTTTCTAGAGATGAAGACCAAGTGTGACTTGACTTTTGCCGCACTGTCCCTCTTGAAAATCATAAACCAAAGCATTCTAAGTGCTATATCATACGCAACTGGCCTTGGTTGAGTTTCTTGAATACCAAAACCAAGAAACCAAAGCAGTGAACAGTTTTAAGTCAAATGTGGATATGAATCAGAGAATACCTTGTACACAGTACTGAATCATTTCTTGTGTTTGTTTGTGTTGCCTTTCTTCTATTTATATGTAATGTTTGAGATGCACATGATTTCAGCATTTGGGCACAATGACTCACTGAGGGTTTATTGTCATGGTGCTGATTGGTCCTCTCTTACTTGCAATTTTGTGGTGAGTAGTGTGACTCACAGTCATGTCCCTGAAGCACATGAGTCATGCTGCAGAGAACAGACATCCGAGACATAAAAATTAGCACTGTGGCAACTTTGTGTGTGTGTTTGCTTCAACGTGTGTGTGGTCTGTTGCATGACTTTCAGTTAGAGATATCAATGGTTTTTCTTCCCAGCTCTCCTCTTTGGTCAGGGTACAGTTGATTTGGCCTCTAATTAACAACTTCAATCAAAGTCTAGTTAAGTACAGATCATACATTGGACGTCAAGTCACTGCCACCAACTTTCATGTAATCTGCAACTACGTTTATAATGCAATCGGAGATTTTCACATTAAACTGTGCTTTTTTTACTGTGTGGAAAACTTTAGTCAAACCTTTTTTCCTGCCCCCCCCCATCTTACTCACTTAGATCTACCAAATAGGGAGGGTGTTTCCATGGAAACCACATTCTGTATTACATCCAGCTGTGATTCATATGAAACTATTTGCAGTGGAGCTGGAGTGGTTTTAAGAACGTATCAAATACTCATGGCCAACATTATGATTGCAGTTACACTCTTATGCCATCTAATGATCAAGTAGAAGAACACCACTTTGAGACACGTGTCTTATTTAAAACAACTTGATGTCCTAAGTGAACCCCAAACGCCCCATACCACCACCAACAACAGCTTTAGTTTAACCTCCACACCAGGCCGTGCAGCCAGAATTTTAGAAATACTGCGGTCACGAGTCTCCACAATACACCTGGCATCAGCCTCAGAAAAGTTTCACCAGAAATCGGTGGCATTTTATGCGTTTATTACAAAAACACAGTGGAGAGATGACAGGAAATGAGGGGAGAAAAAGATGGGGTATGCTGCATAATGGCTGTGAATATAAGCGGCTAAGCAAAGCTCACGTGCATGGGCAGATTATGAGATAATAGAACCCTGGCCTCACCACCTTTCCTAAATAGGAGCAAGACACAGACTTTGTGGTGGTTTTACATCTCTTTTTATTATGCATTTTTTATGATTTTGTGCCACCTTGTGGTTGTTTAGTGTGTTTTTGTAACGTGTTGTGTTCCCTTGTAGTCATTTTGGGTCTCCTTGTGGTTGTTTACCCACCTTTGTTGCTATTTTGTGTTTGCTGTGTTAGGGGCCTACTGGCTCAAGTTAACATGCACTGACCAAGAAGGGACTCAAAATTACCACAAAAAGATGCAAAGGAACTGCAAAGAAACACAAAAAAAACTTGGAAAATGTGCAAATCAACCACAAAGAAACACAAGATGACGACAAGATACAAAAAACAATTAAATAAGATACAAAATTACCTCAAGGAAACAACTCAAAAAGAGAGACACAAAACCACAAAAAGATGCATAACAACTACAAAGGGACACCAAACCACCACAGAGTCGTTCTGTCTTTTTGTCTCTTTGTGGTAATTTTGGTTCCTGGTCAGTACGTGTTAATTTGAGTGACATTATGAAGGTGAAGGCAAGGGGGCTCCCTGACACTTTGGACACCCATGCTCACATAGAAGTAGCAGCACAAAGGAGACTAACAGACTTGAAGTACTTTGACATCTTTATAGCATCAGCTAGAACAAGATCACAATAGTTTGATGTCATTTCCCACAACAACAGCTAAGCACCGGATTTTGGTAGGGTTCAGCAGGCTCATAACTTTGCTGTTATTGTTTAACAAATTGAATTGTCCACAGAGAGGGGCTGTTCTGCCTGTGTTTGTCCAAGGAAGGTGCGGTATGCATTAGTGAATATTTGCTTATCTCTGAACTCAAACCAATATACACTTTCAGTGTGTCAGTTTAAAAAACCTTTTAGCTGTGAGAGTACGCAGGTTTACTTCAACAAAGGTCGGGACGAAGTGATTAGGAAGTCTTCTCACTAAGGGAACAAGCTCGGGCCTCTCCATGGACCACAGACATTCATCTGAACGATACTAATTATATTGCGTAAGGCCACATGATAAACATACAGCATGTACATTGGTATGCATTCAGTGCTTGTCATACACAACTGCACAAAGGGGATATTGAGAAAACGGTCATCAAAGTGGAAATCCCGGCTGTAAACTCAGCTGTGGGTCACATGGGTGTGGTGATTGTGTAAACTGAGGGCTGACAACACACACACACACACACACACACACACACACACAGTTGTAACCTAGCAGCTTGAGTGTTTGCTATGTAACCATCAACACTGGTAGGCCACAGGGCAAGGCCTCGCCCAAGGAGGTGTGTGCAGGACCTTTAAGACTTTTTTTCCCTGAGTTTTGTCTTCCAGGCAGGCCCTGCTCAGGCGGTAAAAGTTATGCTTACCTAACTGGGATTGGCAGACCCTGACCACAACTGTGGGCCAAATTCTAAACTACTGAAGTCACATGTTAACTGTTTATGACTCAAACATTGGCAGAGCTGGTCAGTACCAGCACACAGCCTGAGAAGAAGTGCTGCCTTGTAGACCTTATTTTAGAGCAAAAAGAAAAAGAAAATCTCTTCTCAGTTCAGGAAGACTCAGAGGGTGGGGTTATCCTGTTCATCTCTATGGTGTCAACCAAGTTTCACCAGACATGAAACACTATGAAAAGAATTTGGTGGAAAAACAGTGGTGTACTGACCCGCTGTGCCATGTGACTCAGGCCTGCCATATTTCTTGGCAGTGCCCAGAGCTTACTCAATCAAATCACATTGGCAAGAATGCAACAAACTTCATTCAGTTACAAAGCGCTCTAAATCTTTATCTTGCTCATGCATGCATCGTCTTTAAGATAGTTGCAACATCAGTTTCACACAGAGGTGTGTTCATATTGGAACATTCTGCAGATTCCTCAGAGCAGCGATAAGCAGGACTTTATCAAGCGAAGAGGGAGTGGTCCATCTGCACTTTCACACCCAGGGAAGCAACAATTACAGGTGGGAATTACATCATCACACCTAGTGTCGCTGGAACAATTACAAGGGGAGTCAGTACACTGTGATTTCTCTAAAATGAGCTTCACCAGGGCATGAAATCAGCATAAAGCAATGACTGTAAAATAACAATGATTTGGGTTTTGTGTCTTTGTTACAAAACTATTTTTACGAGTACAAAGCACTATAAAAACCATGATAGAGCATGCATACATATACAGCATCTTACACACACACAACCAAAAACCACCAGACACAAAAGCTTTGAAATTCTTCACTGTATTTATTGAACAAAACTATCTTTACAATACTTCAAAGGCTTTTTGGTTTTTCTCCTCCCTTCCACTGTTGTCGTTTATTTCTTAGATGTCTTCTTCATGTGCATCTGATAGCACTGCTCACAGGCAATGGAAAGTCCAACAACCAGAGAAACAAACTCCTCAAAGTCCACCTGGCCATCGCCATTGGTGTCCAGGTCCTTCATGATTTTGTCAACAGCAGCAGGGTCCTTCTGAGACTGGGTGAAAGAAGGGAGCGTTAGAGGGGCCTCAACAACAAACCTTTGGGTTAGACTGCATTATGTGATAGGTGATAAAATAATGAACATGTTCAAATTCTGGACACTGTGATTATGCACGTAACACGTTGGTCGCTTCTCACCATGAGGAAGGTAGAGAGCTCGTTCTCCATCAACTCTCTGAGCTCCCGCCGGCTGAGTGTGCCACTCCGGCCTTCCTTAGAGGCGTAACGGTGGAACACCTTGATGAGTGACTCCATGGCTGTCTCCAGTTCTGAAGGCATGGTGGCTGAGATGTGTTTTGACTAAAAAACAAAAGGAGAAGACTTTGTTAAAAATGACAGCATGGAGTTTAGCTTCACTGGACAATTTTAAAACAAGACCTTGGAGAACTTGAAAAAGACTGAATGAAAAAAATTGCTTTGTTTTGTGATACCTGAAGATAAACTTATCAACTGGTTTGTGTTCTACTGATGAGCTTATCTAAGGATTTGAAGGAGCATGGGGGAGTTCAAAAGCCAAGGTACTGATCCTCTCATTGCAAAGAGTAGCCTCTCTTTGCATGAAACAAATGTAGATTAAGGGGATGAGTTTGATTTCAAAGGTTGGGGGTACAGTACAGTACAGTACAGTACAGTACAGTAGTCAATTCTCAGAAGGGCTTTAGTTTCTTGAATACCCCTTTCCGAGGCAGAGCAAAACACAAATGCTTTTTCAATTAATAAAACATTCACTTCTGGTGGCAAAGCATCTTCACACCACGTGTTCAACTTTGCTGAACTTTGACCAGTGAAGTCAAAGCTTCAACAAAAAAGCGCAGAGTATGTGTGGAGGAGAAGAGACAGTGCTTGTTGCCGTGTCTTACCAGCCAATATTGTATGATACTGACCAAAAAATACAAACTGCCCCACATGAGAAATGCTGCCTGGCTGGCAGTGAGTTGGGAGACAGGCATGGAAATTTACCAAAAACATTATATTTCGCTGTGTCTATTAGAATGCTAGCTAACATTACCTAGCAAGCTAGGTTTCAGTGGCTGTCACGTCAGGCACTTCCCACATTCAGCACGAATATGCAATAGCCTCGGCAGGCAACAGTCACACCCTAACCCTAACCCGCTCCTGTGTGACTGTACCTTAAAACCACTCTGGTGCCAACTTAAGCTAATGTAATTTTCCCCCTATTACTTGGTTCAGATTTGCACTAATATGTGCCCTGGTATTTGCCCTACACCTCAAGCAAAATGATCATCAAAATATGTGTTTATTATAAAACTAGAGCTCAGAGGCTTTTAAATACAAAGCTGTCACTGGCAGAAATTTCACAGACACCTTTTAAAAATAACGTTACATTTATGTTAGGTAAATTATGATGGTGTGTTGGCACAATTCAGGCCATCACATTGATTTGGAAACTTTGCACACAAACAATAAAGGTGGTGCAGTGAAGGAAAATGCACTTTTTCATGTTAATGTGTCACAAAGTATGCAAAAAAGTCTGTTTTATTTCTTTAATACTTAAGAAAATTAACCCCATTAAACTAGACAGACCGTAAACTAACTAAACTGTTTAAACGAGACACGCAAAGCTCCACTATGTACCAAATCACCATGACGTCATGCTAACAGCATTCATAATGTAGCCAACTGGCAATTGATTACAATGACAGAGATATGTAAAACTGGTAAACTAGTTGAGTCATTTTCAGCCGTTAGTGTAATGTCTTTCACTTTGATAAAATTCCTTAAATCCCTGACAGAGAAAGGCTGTCACATGGCGAGGTAAAGTCATGAAAATATTCAAAATTTTTTTTTTTAGTGGGCTTTTTTTCAATGGCTAAAAATTCACCAACTGCTGCAGCGTTTGCTCAGTGCCATTTGATTTTGTCTGTGCAACGCAGGGATTTTCTACCCATAAGTTTCTGTAAATACACATTGTGATTTGGTCTATGAGAGATGCTGTTACCACTTTTAAAGTTTGTATACTGATTTTCTACCTTCTTTTTTTAGTTATTCTTATTTCTGTATTTTCCATTCCTCATCTAATTCCCTACAACGTATAAGATTCAACAAACACCATTCCATCTTCTGAACCTTTTCTTAAATAAATAAAACCGTAGTTTTCAGATTGTAAAAAGTGGAAATATGACATTAGTTTTTGAAGTGCAAAAAGTTGAGGGCTCCATAAGTGCAGTGTGCCCCCTCACCCCTCTTAAATTACACCCCTGGTCGATCTACATATCATCACCTCCTCCAGTCTGACCTCCATCAGAGGATCGTGCTGAGTAAGTATTTCATGTCTTGGGTGAAATAAAGGTCAGACTCTGTAGTTCCACTGAAATTTAGGAGGATGCTGTGTAGCCCAATGATGGGAAAGCAACACTTTTGTTTGCTCCAACGCCCTTCCCACTACCAAACAATACTCATGAGAAGTGAGAGAAGATCTGCTATTTGACTGTTAGAAAAAGATGGCCAAAATAGCACACACACAAAACTCTAAAGGCTGTTGCCATAGAGTTGCAACAGTTAAAAGGAGAAGTGGGAGGGAAAACGGGTTGTGTGTAAGAGGGAATGGAAAACTTTAGCTGGATGAGGGGAAAAAATGTGCTGATACTCTGGTGGTGCAGCAAATGAGAGGGGACACTGTAGCCACACAGCACATGTGTGTACATGCCCACAGTCCAACCACACCCTTTAGGCTATACAGACTCAGCTGAGTTAACAGTACAAGAGAGTGTCCAATAAAATGTGATGGACTGGAGAAAATAAGAATTGAAGTTAGTTTTTTTTAATGAGTGCTTACTGTATTAGCCAAATGTGTAGACTTATTTAGTTAGGAAAGACCTTATTGGTAAATACTGTGGAAGTGAGAAACAATTCAAACTTAAAAAAAGACCATTTGAATACAATAGCCTACACTGCACAACTTTTTAAAACATGCAACATATAAATATATATGTTATGTAAATTGTATGTATAAAAAAAAGAAAAGCAGACATCAACCACCGACATGCTTCCCTTCAGGAAAGCTTTGAGTGGCAGATAAAAGTAAATTATCCCAAACAATTCCTTCCCCACCCAGCCGGTTGTACCTGAAGGCATCATTAGTTAAATCCCGACAAAGCCACACAAGTTGTGCAAGAGACAAGTTACCGTTAGTTCTTACCGTGCAGGGCTGAGACGTGGCCGCAAGAGAAGAGGTGGGAATGTTCAGGGGCCGGGAAGGAGTGCAGACTTTATAGACAGGCGCCGCCCCGGCTGCTGTGCACTGTGAGTCAACCTGTGGTGTGGACAGTGGACTCTGCCGACTGTATCTGAGGCTGGGCAGAGGTTGATAGGGGAGAACGGGGCTTGTTGTCACACTTTGTACTTTAATTTGAATACTTCAAAAACTGTATCCTGAATGGATACTCAGCCCATTCAGAACACTGATTGGTGACAAGTGCAGTTGAAACTTGCCACTAGAGCCCCGTTTCCACCGAGCAGTACGGTACAGTACGGTTCAGTTCGGTATGTTATTTTCCTGTTCTCACTGTGAAAAGTTGTGGATGGTACCAATAGAACCGTTCCAAACCGTCCCCATTTTTGGTGCCCCCTCTGTACCTAGCACACAGATCTGATACTAAAAGGTGGAGCTATGAACACTGCAGTCTGCAGATTGGTCAATAGAGGACGGTCACTCTGCTCAGGGCTGAGTTAGTAGTTAGTTAGTTAGTAGACCGAAACTATAAAATGAAGGGATGTTTAGCTGCCTCTTGCAGCAGCTGGAGTCAGAGAAAATCATTCACCGGGCTGATTGCCACGACTGTAAAGGTGGAACATTAACTTATGTTAGTCAATGCACGAGCTGATGACGTGACTCAATCAACACACCTTAAATATTCCATATTACAACTTTGACCATCACTTTAGTTTTTATATGACTCAACTCAACTCAACTCAACTTTATTTATATAGCCCTTTAAAACAGCCACGGCTGAAACAAAGTGCTGTACATAAATAGACAAATCAACACAGGTACATAAAATAATTAACAGGATATAAATATTAAAATAATTGTTTATTGTTTTTAAAATAATTTAAAAACAATAAAACAATAAATAAAACAAACCATAAAACACTAAAACAGAAACAGAGTCTCATGCGGAGTTGAAAGCCAAGGAATAAAAATGGGTTTTTAGACGAGTTTTAAAAATGGACAGTGAGGAGGCTTGTCTAATGTGGAGGGGTAGCTCGTTCCACAATTTAGGAGCGGTAACGGAAAAAGCTCTGTCCCCTCTGAGCTTCCGTTTGGACCTCTGCACCTCCAGAAGCAGCAGATCAGCTGACCTGAGGCACCGAGCAGGAGCGTAGGGGTGAAGAAGCTCAGAGAGGTAAGGTGGGGCCAGACCATGTAAAGATTTAAAAACTAATAAAAGAATCTTAAAATGGACTCTAAAGTGCACAGGTAGCCAGTGGAGGGAGGCCAGGATGGGAGTTATGTGCTCCCTCTTACGTACTCCAGTTAACAGTCGTGCAGCTGCGTTTTGCACCAACTGGAGACGTGCGAGGGAGGACTGGCTGACTCCAAAATAAAGTGCATTACAGTAATCCAGCCGAGATGTAATAAAGGCATGGATTACTGTTTCAAAGTGCTGTTGTGCAAGGAAACACTTTTAGTGATGAGTGGATCTAATAAATAAAGGCATGGATTACTGTTTCAAAGTGCTGTTGTGCAAGGAAACACTTTTAGTGATGAGTGGATCTAATAAATAAAGGCATGGATTACTGTTTCAAAGTGCTGTTGTGCAAGGAAACACTTTTAGTGATGAGTGGATCTAATAAATAAAGGCATGGATTACTGTTTCAAAGTGCTGTTGTGCAAGGAAACACTTTTAGTGATGAGTGGATCTAATAAATAAAGGCATGGATTACTGTTTCAAAGTGCTGTTGTGCAAGGAAACACTTTTAGTGATGAGTGGATCTAATAAATAAAGGCATGGATTACTGTTTCAAAGTGCTATTGTGCAAGGAAACACTTTTAGTGATGAGTGGATCTAATAAATAAAGGCATGGATTACTGTTTCAAAGTGCTATTGTGCAAGGAAACACTTTTAGTGATGAGTGGATCTAATAAATAAAGGCATGGATTACTGTTTCAAAGTGCTATTGTGCAAGGAAACACTTTTAGTGATGAGTGGATCTAATAAATAAAGGCATGGATTACTGTTTCAAAGTGCTGTTGTGCAAGGAAACACTTTTAGTGATGAGTGGATCTTCAAGCATTTATATATATTAATTTCAGCCGGGTTATGTGAACTGCATATATTCTAATCCTCACTTGAAGAAAAAAAAAGTGTTGCGTAGCTTCAAGCTATGGCAACACTAAACCCCTGAGCTCTCAGAAGGACTAAATGCATAAGCCCATTATTTTTACGATAAACAAGGTGCAGACTTCCATCTGTGTTATGGAGCAGTGAGTGACAACAACCCCGCCCACATTTAAGGGTACTGTTTGCATTTCACACACTAGGGTCTAGGTACCATATATGAAGGATTACTTTTGGTTCCGAAGGTACCATACCGAAAGTGTTGGGTGGAAATGGGGCTTATTTTCAAGGTACGCATCTGCAACAATATGAAAACGTGTCCGTTTACACCATGGTGACTACACTGGCATTGTAGCATTGTTGTAGCATTTATTCCTCAACAAACAGCTCTGTGCTTTGATCTGATCTGATTTCCAGCTTTTCACACTCATTTTGTAGCTGAATATAATTTCTATGAATGAGGATAGTGACGGTACGACAGTAGCTCAGTCTGTGGGAACTTGGTTTGGAAACTGGCAGCTGGAGAAGTGCCAGTCTGCCTCCTGAGCAAGGCAGTGAACACCCAAACTGCTCCAGGGGCACAGTACCATGGTTGACTCTGTGCTTTGATCCTCCAGAATGCATGTGTAAAAGGAGAGATGTGAGAAGAGATAAATTCCAAACACTATGGAACTTATTGATAGTAATAATAATAATAATAATAATAATAATAGTGTAATTATAATGATAATAACGCTTTTTATTTATAGGCGCCTTTCAGAGCACTCAAGGACACCTTACAAGACACAGTAAAATACAAGTAGCAGTGTATCCATAGATTGTTAAATCAAACAATTCAGTAATATACAGTAAAAGTTAATAAAATGACAAGACAAAAATCTTTATTATAATACATACTGTGGTGTGCTGGGGTGGCAGCATTAAGAGGAGGGATGCTACTCGACTGGTCAGGCAATGTCCGTCACCCTCTGCACAGTACATTCACCAAGCAGAGGAATATGTTCAGTGGCAGACTTCTCTCCCAGTCCTGCTCAACAGACAGACCGAGGAAGACTTTTGTCCCCCAGGCCATAAGGCTATTCAACTCCTCCCAGGTACGGCAGGTTGGAACGGACTGAAATGACTGAATATTTATCTGCTCACCTGTCTGTAGGCAGCTGGACTGTCTGTTTTTTACTTTTTACTTTTAAGCACCTTCTACAAAAAATGCTGCTGTCAGAGAATACCGCAGTAAGTTTTCCAGTGGACTTGGCCAGTGGATTTTGCTATGAGTTGATTGGCTGATGAGACAGATGATGTGCCATATGTTCTTTTGGCTCTGTTGTGAATCTTTTGTCTGAACTGAGCGTATTCAAAACCTTATTTCCCTTTCTGTTCAAAAGATATGGACCGTCAAATATGTCTTTTGCACCGAGAACAACCATCCCCATCGTAGGATTGGTAGTCACACTATGGGGGTTGGTTGGCTAAGTGTTATTTTCATGCGGAAAATTTAAAATATTAATGTAATCTTGAAAAATTTAATTTCACTGAAACACATCTCGTGCAACAAGAGGACTTAAACAGGAATGATCATGCCAATAAGTAAATTTTTTTTTATCCTTATGGAACAATGTAAAGAACAAAGCATGTGACATCCAACCCTGAAAAGAATGTGACAAGCATCCCCATCTTGGATTTTGTTTTGGGAGTGACTAAACTAACAATCACATAAAACAACCCATCTTAACTGTAGTTCTGCTCTCATACTTTTTAATGGGAATTATTGTTTTATTATTATTGTTTTATTATGAACCCGTTGTCTAACAGCCTCAAAGAGAAACACAGAGGAGCTGGATATTTACATTTTGACATGAAAAACACTTAAAGTCACCTCAAAGGATGCCCCAGGAACCTACAGTAGATAGCATGAATTAGCATTGTACCACTTACAGTTCCCTTGGCTCAAAGTCAGTGTTTTTTTAATGGGTTTTTGGTTAGTTGCCTGAAATAAGGTCTGAGGTTAACACAAGCGGCAATCCAAATTCAAATCAAAAAATCCCATTGGCTTTTGGAACCAGGGCAATGCTAACTTTGGCAGCGGCCTACAGAAAAATGTCATCTCACTCAATGTCAAGTGTCTTACTCCTGTAGGTGACCTCTGACCCCAATTAAAAAAAATTGGAACCAACTTTTTTCTCACCCTTTAGAGAGTGAGATCTAATAAATGTGACAACCAACCCCCTTCTCCACTATTAGGTGTGGGAGTTGGACTGTTTCAGTTCGTCTTCACAACAAAATTACAGTTGAGTTGTGAAACAGGTCAATGAACAGATGAATATACCACTAGCCTATACATGGAAGCTGCACTAACCTTCATTAGTAGGCTAATATAGGTTGTGGGGGAGGAAATGTAATTAAAACATGATTAATAATTGACTAATCATCATACAAATGGAACATTCTTGCATGCTCTTAGTCAGTTTCCACTACTTTTGCATCTGCTGGTCTGCTGCTATACAAGAGCAGTTCTTTCAGCTGTTTGTTAAGTCTGTGTACCTACGAATGCTGAATGACATCATTGCAGAAAATAAATAGCATAATGAGCAAACAAGCAGTGGATTTCTTACAGGCAAAGAGCCTGCTGCTCTAATGTCCACAACACATGACATAGGTGTGGACATTTCCAGTCACCTCTCTGTCAGCTCCACTAATTTGCTCATGAATATTTTGTGTGTCAGTGGTGCTTTTTGTGGTTGGCTCTGTACAGTGATGGCGTGTGGCTTCAAATCAATCAGTCAATCAATCAGTCAATCAGTCAATCAATCAATCAATCATTTATTCGTCACATGGAAATGATACAAGGTAAAACTCCAGTAAAATGTTTCCCATTAGCTCCTTTAACTTGTGCACTGTAATTTTTTTTTTTTTTTTTTTTTTGGCATCTCTTCTCGGCGTTGGCTGCTGCTCCATAATCGTCCATGTTTCCAGATGGTTCTGGTA